GCGAGGCCATATAAGTTATGATTACCCAGAACTCTTGTTTTCTTGCTTGCATGTGCCATCTAGGTTATGTGATCGAAGCGATATGCTCTCAAGGGTTTTACACTTCAAATGCCGATTCAATTGAATAACAAGCTAAAGATGAAGTGCCTTGATCATGCATATATAGCACCGGGCTGAAACGAGGTGCTTCATACAGGTAAGAGAGCTGAGACAGAAGGTAAACGTTGCTGGAAATGGATCCTGTCAACGCGTTGTATGAAAAATCCCTGTGTATGCGAGGTACGTGTTGGGGCGGAATAAGTGAGGAGATGAGAATTCTCGACTTGGACGGAGATACAGCAAACACACGCGGTCGACCCAATTGGGGGATGAGACGAGCATAGTCTAAGGCGAACTTGAACTAGTTTGTCTCACACTCACTCGAACATTGGTATTACCTAAACTGAGCGAGGAGATGAGTATTCTCGGCCCAGCTGGGGGATGAGACGACCATGGTCTAAGGCGAACTTGAACAGCTCGAGCTGACTTTTGAGTCGACTCAAAAGTCGACGGAGGGACAACAAGCACACGCTGTCGACCCAGTTGGGGGATGAGACAAGCATAGTCTAGTGCGAACTTGATCTAGTTTGTCTCGAACTCACTCAAACATTAGTATTACCCAAACCGAGCGAGTTCGCACAACTTTTTAACCTAACAACGCCCTTCGTCGGATCACCCTTAATTCGCACAGCGCCCTTGGTCACATCACCTTGCCCCCACGAATCCCCGCATAAAAGTTGTCCTTCCTTGAGCTTCCCTACCGTGTCTAGTGGCCTAATCTAACGTTACTCCAAATGATAGCATAAAGTGTGATAGGCGCAGCGCAAGGCAAGTGTGGCTTAGGATCGTGACGAAGTGTCGAATCACCAAGTAGAAATCAGGAAGATAGCATAGTCCAGGGCTAACGCGTTGGCGAACGCGACAAACAATCCGAACGTGTGCGCCAGATTGATAAACAGGCGAACGTGTTCGCCAACGCGACAAACAGTCCGAATGTGTCCGCCTCCGACAGGAGTGGGTTCGCATTTTTGCTCATGTCTGGGAGGCAGACAGAGTAAAACAGGTATCGCAGTTCGGTCCGAGCCCGGGCTGATCCCCTCAGTGCGGGTAGCCAGGACAGATGTGACGGGCCGAAAGCGGCCTGACCCAGAGGCTGACCCAGCCGGGCTTAACAGGCTAGATCCGGGCCGTGAATGTCCACAATTCGGACCGAGCCCGGCCGATCCCCTCAGAGCGGGTGTCCCTGTAGCCAGGACGGATGTGACGGGCCGAAAACGACCTGACCCTGGCTGACCCAGCCGGGCTTAACAGGCTAGATCCGGGCCATGAATGTTCATAATCCGGACCAAGCCCAAGCAGATCCCCTCAGTGCGGGTGTACCTGTAGCCAGGGCAGATGTGATGGGCCGAAAGCGGCCTGAACCTGGGTGTCCTAGCCGGGCTTAACAGGCTAGATCCGGGCCATGAATGTCCATAATCCGGACCGAGTCCAAGCAGATCCCCTCAGTGCGGGTGTCCCTGTAGCCAGAGCAGATGTGACGGGCCGAAGGCAGCCTGAACCTGGGTGACCTAGCCGGGCTTAACAGGCTAGATCTGGGCCGTGAATGTCCACAATCCGGACCGAGCCCGGGCCGATCCCCTCAATGCGGGTGGCTCTGTAGCCAGGACAGATGTGACGGGCCGAACCTAATTCGGACAGTGCTCGTCCTTCGATGGGTTAAAATGTTTGATGTGACGAGCACAAGTTGTGGGGGCTTATGGGGGTTAAAGCAGCCCTTCAAACCAGACGATATGAAGGGACTTCTAACTACTTAAGTTGAAACCCATACTTACCCATGAAGTTGAAACCCATACTTACCCCACTCTACGTGTCACCACTCATTGTGCGTGCTTATCCCAGCCTTAAACGAGGCGCTTCATACAGGTAAGTGAGCTGAGGAAGCGTGAATATGTTACTGGGAATGGAGCCTGTCAACCTGTGTCACCACTCATTGTGCGTGCTTATCCCCAGCCTTAAGGTGTCACGAGGTGCTTCATACAGGTAAGTGAGCTGAGGAAGCGTGAATATGTTATTGGGAATGGAGCCTGTCAACCCGACCACTCATTGTGCGTGCTTATCCCCAGCCTTAAGGTGTCACGAGGCGCTTCATACAGAAAAGTGAGCCGAGGAAGCGTGAATATGTCGATGGGAATGGAACCTGTCAACCTGTTTTTTGAAAGAGACCTGTGTATGCATGGCATGGGTTGGGGAGGAATAGTAAGTGAGGGGATGGAGTGACAAGGAGTGAGCATAGAGTGAGCGAAAACAAGCACACACGGTCAATTAAATATGGGAGGTGACACAAGCATGCTGGGAGACAGACATGAGTGAAAACTGAATTGCAGTTCGGTTCGAGACGTTTAGGATTATGCAGGAACCAGTTTGAGTCGCACACCCAGCTTGACAAAGTTTTGTAGAACCAACGCTGGGAAGGGGAGGGCCAGGAAGAGGAGTGGAGTGGCCATAAGCGTTGTGATCTTTGACAATGATCAACCGAAACCCCTTCTTTTCTTGCTTGCCTATGATAATTGACCATGCATGCTTGGCACCGGGCTCAAACGAGGAGTTGAATATATTCAGCGTGGCTTGGCTGGCATTGGTGTGGCCATATGCGTAGTAATCAACCGAAACCCCTTGTTTTCTTGTTCGCCAGTGATCTTTGACCATGCATGCATGCTTAGCACCAGGCTCAAATGAGGAGCGTCATACAGAAAAGTGAGATTAGAAGGCAAGTGAATGCCGCTGGGAATGGAGCCCGTCAAATTGTTGCTTGAAAGATCCCTGCGTGTGCGTGGGATAGGTTGGGGAGGAGATAAGATTAGTGGGCATGGACCGAATGACGGCAAGCACACAAGGTGGACCTAATTGGAGGATGAGACTAGCACGGTAGGAGGTAGGCGTGAGGAAACCGAATCGCAGTTCAGGTCGAGGCAAACGGTTCAAGTGGCACACACCCAGGGAAGTCACAGACCCAGTTCGGAAAATATATGGTTCTCCTCGAATCTGGGCTGGCTGGGCCTAGTCTGGGAGGTTGAGGGCCAGGAAGTTGGGCTGCGAGATATTTATCCTGACTTGGCTGGCAATTGTGTGGCCACATTTGTTTTGATTACGTGTGGCATACCCGAAACTCCTGGCTTTCTTCCTTGCGTGTGGCATCTAGGATATATGTCTAGGGATTTATATATAATATTCGCGTGACTTTCCAGCATGTTTGCTCTTATCACCAGACTGAAGCGAGGTGCTGGCTGCTGCATACAGATAGATGAGCTGAGAAAGCCCGGAGATGCTGTCGGGTTTTGAGGCGCCTCAAAGGATGGGGGGCTTCATACATACAGATAGATGAGCTGAGAAAGGTGTTCTGAGTCGACTCAAAACACAACTTGAGTCGACTCAAAACAAGGTTCATATCACCAGACTGAAGCGAGGTGCTCCATACAGATAGTTGAGCAGAGAAAGCTTGGAGATGCTGTTGGGAATGGAGCCCGTCAAACTGGTGTTTGAAAGATCCCTGTGTGTGTGAGGGGGTTTAGGCGAAAGAAGTGAGGAGATGAGAATAGTGGGCATTGACAGACAGAGGATGCAACAGCACAGCACGCAACACAAGCAACCCAAGCATTAAAAAAAAGGTGAGCTCATGATTTCACTGTGAGGTTCTTACAGAACACTTAGGGCAGCGAGGGAGGAGATGCTGTCAGGAATAGTCCCCTTAAGAGTCGCACCCGAGTAAGATCTACGAGGGGTTTGGGTGCGAAAGGGAGTTGAGGTAACCAGACGGAGATACGAGTAACGCCAGCACTGGGAATCAACGGTGCAGATTCCACCAATGCGCGCAGAAATCAATCAACACAAGCCTGCGGGATTGGCAGCTTGTGTGGGATCCAATCCATGCTAGACGAAACACGATCACACTCACATCATGATCATATCATCATACTCACATCATGATCACACTCACATCTTGATCACACTCACATCTTAATGTCACTCACATCGTGATCACACTCACATCGTGATCACACTCACATCGTGATGACACTCACATCATGATCTCACTCACATCATGATCACACTCACATCTTGATGTCACTCACATCGTGATCACACTCACATCTTGAAAATCATGCCTGAATCGTCACAGAAGAGTCCCCGGGCGTTAAAACAGTCAGCACCCACGGCCCAGCTTTGGACCGCCTTTCCCCATGCCTTCTGGCAGTCCTTAAGAAACACATCTGACAGTTGGGAACAGGAGGGGAGAGAGAGTGACAGAGGCACATGAGCCCTCGGGTGAGGGAACAGTTAGCACCACGGCCCAGCTTTGGACCGCCTTTCCCCATGCCTTCCGGCAATCGTGAAAAACACAGCTGACAGTTGGGAACAGGAGGGGAGAGAGAGAGACAGAGGCACAGACGAGGAAAGTTCCAGCTCTAGTACTGAAGACCAGGGAAACCAAAACGGATTACCCGGCTCAAAAGTCCCCAGACCTGCAACACCATCCTGACGCACCAACGCTGCCCGAACCCAATTTGGGAGGGGAGCACACACCCAGTGCTGACGTCACTCGTGCTGGCGTCACTCGTGCTGGCGTCACTCGTGCTGGCGTCACTCGTGCTGACGTCACTCGTGCTGGCGTCACTCGTGCTGGCGTCACTCGTGCTGGCGTCACTCATGCTGGCGGCACTCGTGCTGGCGTCACTCGTGCTGGCGTCACTCGTGCTGGCGTCACTCGTGCTGGCGGCACTCGTGCTGGCGTCACTCGTGCTGGCGTCACTCGTGCCGCGCATAGCAGCCCAGTTAGGTGCTGTGAGTGGGTGTGCCTGCTTCAATCTGATTGTGCAACGACACCGCCAGAAGCACACCCACTCGCTGAGTAGTCATCGTGGGGGGGGGGGGGGGGGGGTGGGGGGGGGGGAGGCAACTTCAAGGCTCTGCTGACCGCTGCCCTGTCGGCCCGCCCGCAGCCTTCTCTCTGCTGAATGCTGCCTTGTCGGCCGACCCTCAGCCTGCTATCTGCTCACAGCTGCCGCAATGCCCTTTATTTCGAGGCGCCTTTGCCGCAGCGGGGTGCAACTTTGCGTACCTGGCAGCGGGGTGCAACTTTGCCTACCTGGCAGCGGGGTGCAACTTTGCGTCCACGGCGGAGTGCAGCTTCGCCTACCTGCAACTCTCCTCACGCATCTCGGATCGTGTCTCTTTGGTCAGCATGCCCTCTCTTTGGTCAGAACGCCCTCTCTTTTGGTCAAAACGCCCTATCTTTGGCAGTCCACTCCACTCCAGCCGCTTCAGGGATCTCTTAGAGCAGAGCAGGGAAATGGTTGATGCCGTCCCTTTTACCCACTGATGGGCCACACGCAGTGGTTGACATCCCTGGTTGGCTCGGGAGCAGGGGATTGGCTGATGGCCATCCCACCCACTGATTGGCTCATCGCCGTCCCCTTTACTCACAGTCTGCGGCTCTCTCCTGCCCACTTCGCGTCAGCGCTGGCGTTCCAGCTCCACCTATCCCAGGAAGCACCTGGCAGCGCATGGCCGTCCCCTTTACCCACTGATTGGCTCATGGCCGTCCCCTTTACCCACTGATTGGCTCATGGCCGTCCCCTTTACCCACTGATTGGATCATGGCCGTCCCCTTTACTCACAGTCTACGGCTCTCTCCTGCCCCACTTCGCATCAGCGCTGGCGTTCCGATCGACCTACCCCAGAAGGTACCTGGCAGCGCATGGCCGTCCCCTTTACCCACTGATTGGCTCATGGCCGATCCCTTTACTCACTGATTGACCCATGGCCATCCCCTTTACTCACAGTCTGCGGCTCTCTCCTGCCCAATTCGCATCAACGCTGGCGTTCCACACCACACTAGTGGAGTGGAGGGGAGGGGAGGGGCTGAACTGAAAGCTGACATGCAACCCGCCACCCGTATCTGGGGTGGGGTGGCGTGGATCGGTGTCGTTACTGTCAGTCACGGACCCAATCTCCAGCCTGCCGGGCCCCACGGCATCGCGCGGCTTGGGGTGGTGTGGATCTGTGACGTTTTGTGCTTTGAGTTGACTCAAAACCATGGTGTCGATACCTACTACTGTTACTGCTCCCCCGGGGCCTTCGAGTTCCTTCGCCTTTGAGTTACAGCACACGCTGTACCCACCCATCTCATGCGAAGCGGTGAAGCTGAACCCACCTCACGCGAAGCGGTGAAGCTGAACCCACCTCACGGGAACCGGTGAAGCTGAACCCACCTTACGCGAAGCGGTGAAGCTGAACCCACCTCACGCGAACCGGTGAAGCTGAACCCACCTCACGCGAAGCGGTGAAGCTGAACCCACCTCACATGAACCGGTGAAGCTAAACCCACCTCACGCGAAGCGGTGAAGCTGAACCCACCTCACACGAAGCGGTGAAGCTGAACCCACCTCAAGTGAAGCGGTGAAGCTGAACCCACCTCACGTGAAGCGGTGAAGCTGAACCCACCTCACGAAGCGGTGTAGCTGAACCCACCTCACGTGAAGCGGTGAAGCTGAACCCACCTCACGCGAAGCTGTTCAACAGCTTCCGCCAAAGGTGGTCGCGCACGCAGCAGCGGGCAAAGGTTATATACAGCCTGCGTCTGAAATGAGTCAGGGGATCAGCTTTGCTAGTACTGCTACAGCATGCGCCGGAACGCTCCATGCTTTCCGCGCCTGCTACTATGGACAACCAAGGAAAGGCTTCAAACGCGCACACCTAGAAAACGGTATCGTCACGCGTAGAACACTTGGCGCTCGTGCCGTGCCGCACGAGTGCTATTCAGTCGCACTGTGGCAGTGCGAAACCGCGTGATAATTCCAGTGAGGTTTGAACGAGGTACGAAAAGGGAGGTTGAGAGGCATTGCTCGCTGTTACTACCTCATCTCGGTATTACCTGCGGCATTACCTGCGGCATTACCTGCGGCATTACCTGCGGCATTACCTGCGGCATTACTTGCTGCATTACCTGCGGCATTACCTGCGGCATTACCTGCGGTATTACGTGACGTATTACCTGAGGTATTACCTGCAGGTATTACCTGCGCGGTATACGAATTTTCGTATAAGTAAGTTACCGCCGACCAATCGTGACAGTCCAACCATGAGTGCCTACTACATGTCTTTGCGCACTTATTACTATGAGTCGCATGATGGGAATAGTTTCGCTATCAGGCCCGGGCTGCGAGGAGGAAGGGAGGTACAAACTAGAGAAGCATTCCGTATATTACTACCTGCACTGGCAAGCATGCGAGGAGGGACGGAGGTAGTACCTTGCGTGGCGTTGATCACGACTTGCGCATGGCATGATGGAGAGATGAAGGCAGCGAGCCAAAGAGCGGCGGAGACATCAGAAAAATGTGAAACTGCCGAGTATGGAGGGGGGGTGGGGAGGGGGTCATTTTTCGAGTTGGAGGCTGATGGTTTTCCATCGTTTATGAGGTGCTATTCGGTGAACCGATTTTCCCGGCAGTTTACCATCGTGTGCGACTGGTTCATTGCTGCAGATGGTCGATGCCTCGTCTAGTCGTTTACGACTACCCCTCTCGATCCCCGTTTATCTCTGTTTACAGACACGCACTGGACACGTGGAAGAAAATTCATGGTTTACGTGGAGTTTCCGGTTGGGAGCTTGCGAGCGTTGCCATTGGTCGATTTTTGCTGACAGAATTGGGGATAGATCGCGAGATGTGTGGGGCGTTAGCCAGCCTACACTTCACACGCTGATTCTCATTTGCGAGGAAACGTCGGTAGGTCAAGGCCACATCATCCCCGTTTCGATTACTGTTATGTAACTAATTTCGAACATTTCACACACTTCAATTTGAGCACTGTTTCTGTTATGGATTTCATTAAATAGAGCTTATTATGTGATGTTGGCTTCGATAATTAATATGCATTAGTGATATTGATTTTTTCCCTGGCTTAACATTGGCCATGCTTTTTTAAAACCTAGGAAATGTATTTGGGCAATAAATTATTGAAAGCGATAAAACAACAATTCTAGGCAATGGCCGACATGGTGCCGTATCGTCGTCCGTATTGACTAGATAAAAAATGTTTTAATTGTTCATTCAAACATTTACAATATTTCAAGCATGTTGGACAAGTTTGGTGCCATTCGCAACATCTGACATGAATATCTGGTGTTTCAATCAATTGAACAGGGAGACCCGTGCGGGGATTGGCCTGTGCGACACCTTGTGTCGGTTCGATGTCTGTTTGTTATTTTGAACGAGGTTTCTCTTCATCATTCATACATCTACTGTATTTCAAGCATGCTGGACTGATTTGGTGCCATTCGCAGTATCTGGCAGGAAGATATGGTGTTTCAAACAATCGAGCAAGGAAAACTGTGCAAGGATAGGCCTGTGCGTGACGTAGTGCCGTATTGAAATCCGTTTGTCACTTTAAACGAGTTTTCTCTTGATCATTCATGTATGTACTATATTGCAAGCATGCTGGATAGATTTGGTGTCATTCGCATCATCTGGCAGGAGGATATGATGTTTCAAACAATTGAGCAGGGAAAACTGTGCAAGGATAGGCCTGTGCGCAACATGTCACTGCGCCAACGTCTAAATGCCTTTTTTACCCCTACTTCTTCAAACAGCTCTCTACTACATCCTTTTTCCTAGCCATAGGAACTAATTTCATCTCGTTAGCACAACTACGCAGCTCGTGGCGCATGTTTGTGCGTTTGCTGGACGGAATCTGTGCAAGGATAGGCCTGTGCGCAACATGTCACTGCGCCAACGTCTAAATGCCTTTTTTACCCCTATTTATTCACACAGTTCCCTAGTGCATCCAATTCCCTAGCCATAGGAACTGGTTTGAGGTCATTAGCACAACTACGCAGCACGTGGCGCATGTTTGTGCGTTTGCTGGACTGAATCTGTACAAGGATAGGCCTGTGCGCAACATGTTAGCTCGCCGACGTCGGGATGCCTTTTGTACCTCTATTTCTTCACACTGTTCCCTAGTACATCCTTTTTCCTAGCCATACGAACTGGTTTGAGGTCGTTAGCACAACTACGCAGCACGTGGCGCATGTTTGTGTGTTTGCTGGCCTGAATCTGTGCAAGGATAGGCCTGTGCGTAACATGTCACTGCGCCGACGTCTGGATGCCTTTTTTACCACTATTTTCTACACACAGTTCTCTACTACATCCTATTACCTAGCCATAGGAACCGATTTCATCTCGTTAGCACAACTAGGCAGCTCGTGGTGCATGTTTGTGCATTTGCTGGCCTGAATCTGTGCAAGGATAGGCCTGTGCGCAACATGTCACTGCGCCAACGTCTGAATGCCTTTTTTTGTCAAACATTATATGTTTATATTGTCTAGGCTATATTGGGTTTAGCCATAGGGGGTACATCAAACTTAGGGTTTCCTACTTGTACCCAACTTTCTCTTAGTTCATCCATTCTCGTTCGTTCTTAGTTTCTAACATGGTATCGCGAGCCTAGGTCGTAACCTAGGACCGAATAATATGGGCCCACCGTTTCCGCTTAGTCGCGCCCTAGCGCGCCTCGCCTAGTCGCGCCCTCGAGCGCCTCACTCTCTCCCTCACTATCGCATGCCCTAGCGCGCCTCTCGCGATCGGCCCCGCCTAGCCCGCACGCCCTAGCGTGCCCCGTGCGATCGGCCCAGCTCACCTCGTACGCCCTCGCGTGCGACCCGCGCAGCACCACGCGCGTCACCTGCCCCGCGCGCCCTTGCGTGCCCCGTTCGGCCCCGCGCACTCGCTGCCCCGCGCGCCCTTGCGTGCCTCTTACGGACCGGCCCCGCCCCTTAGCGTGCGCCCTTGCATGCCCCGTGCAACCGGCCCACACCCACCCGCGCGCCCTTGCGTGCCCCTCGCGTACCGGCCCCGCCCTCGCTAGCCCGCCACCTCGTGCCCCGTGCGACCGGCCCACACCCACCCGCGCGCCCTTGCGTGCCCCTCGTGTACCGTCCCCGCCCTCGCTAGCGCGCCACTTCGTGCCCCGTGCGGACCGGCCCCGCTCTGCCCTGCACGCCCTCGCGTGCCCCACCTCGAGTAGCCGCCGCCTAGCCGAGCCGAGCCGCCCCACCGAACCGCGTCACCCGGCCCGAGCCGCGCCGCCCTACCAAACCGCGCCGCCCTACCGAGCCGCGCCACTGCTACTGTCACTGCTACTGCTGCTACTACTGCTACTGCTCTTACTGCAACTATGGCTAGCCCTGCTGTGCTCGCTTTCGATGCTGAGGGCCGCCCGCTGAAGTTTGACACCTGGCTAGATGACTTGCACCTGTTCCTCCAGCTCACTGCCAAGGAGGATATCTCGCTGTACGATCACGCACTAGGCCACGCTGCTGCCCCTGCTGCTACTGCTGACAGTACTGCCCGCTCACAGTGGCAGACTCGTGACGCCCACGCTCGCTTTGCTATTCGCAACTCCCTGCCGGTAGATGAGCGCGAGCACTTTGGCCAGCACAAAACTGCGCAGGCACTGTACACTGCTGTAGTTGCACGCTACTCCTCACCTGCCTCTGCTGCGCTAGGCCGCCTCTCGCTCCCCTACCTGTTCCCAGACCTGTCCGCTTTCGCCACAGTCGCTGACCTCATCACGCACCTCCGCACTAGTGAGGCCCGCTTCCGTGCCGCTATGCCCGCTGAGTTTCTTGCCACGCACCCCCCCCCACTCTGGCTTACTCTCTACCACCTAGTCACCCGTCTCCCTGACTCTCTTCGTGCAGTCAGGGACCACTTCCTCGCTCGCTGCCCCACTGAGCTCACCGTTGACCTGCTCGAGAAGGAACTGCTTGCAGCTGAGACTAGCATAGTCGCTGTAGCTGCCTCTCGTGGCGACCCCCGCACCCGGTTCTTCGAGGGGTGTTCCCCTTCCCCCCTTCTCCCCTCTGTCGCCTC